CCCGAGAGACCACGCTCGCTTGAGCAGGGGCTTCGTGAAGGCGACGACCTTCAAGACGCGCCCAACGCGAGCTCTTCACGCCCTCTCGCCCCTAAAAACAAAAACACGTTGACGCGTTGAAGCTCTGAGGACCCACAAATAGTGTATACAAGTGGCTTGCCGTTAGCCTTCCCGACCACTTACGCTCCATCACGTAGTAGTATGCGCCATGCGCTGGGATTGGAGAGGTTGCTGGTTCAATTTCGCGTTACAAATTTTTGCTTTCTGGTTCTTTTCTTTACCATCTGTTTGTACATTATTTACTACGCCATTTCTGGGGCCGAAGTACGTCAGCGGAGCCGTGATGAAGTCGACATAAAAAAGTTTCGTGTTAAAACAAGTCGGGCAAAAATAAATGACGCATGCCGCAGAGGACCTGCAAAACTGCGCTACATAAAAGTTGTATAGTGTTAGACGGGAAAAAGTATTCCCGCACCCCTCTCCACGACTCCGCATCCTTTTTTCGAATGGCACTGGCATTCGCTTAGCCGGCTGTTCAACCATAATTCACGTGCAACACTACTCTATGGTGAATAGCGAAATTCAAGGTGTTCTTAGTGTGCGCTTTCGCGGCTGCGGATGCAAACCTATTTCAGATAAATGCGGCATTGTATCTCGGCGTAAAGGTCAACACTTGAACGAGAAACAAATAAGGCAGACATGTCACGCGCCGCCTACAAGTGCGTGAGCTGAGTGTAGGAAAAAAAACGTCCCCGGAAGATAAGACCTCTGAATAAACGTCCCCGGAAGAAACGGCCCCAAAAGAAATAGCCTCTTTGACATGGATGTCTAAAAAAAATGGCCCCAGGTAAAAATAAACCAAGTAACGAATAAACTGCAGTCTTTGTTCAACACTTCGCGAAGTTTCAAAGTGTGCTGGAAACGAATGAAGTTATACCGAATTGTGTGCCCAACAGCCTTCAGCGCGAGAAAAGTTTCCGTCCATAAACCGGGTACTGCTCTCTGACAATAACTTAAAGCACATTGCGCGGTCAAACACAAGTAGTCCTTTTTTTTTAAGTTTCTGGTCCTGTACCGTAGCACAGGAAGCGCTCTGAACGGGTGCCTGCAACGATAGTTCGAGGTGCCAGAATAAGTAAGCTGGCAGCGCTAAACATTGACCGCGAAGTTCTGGTGTGGATAGATAATTACCTTTCAGGCCGCCAACAGTGTGTAGTATTAAATGGCAAAAATCAAGTTTTGTAAACATCACTTCAGGGGTGCCACAGGGCTCAGTACTAGAGCCACTTTTATTTTTAATATATATAAATGACATTAGCTCAGGAATCGATTCTAATATACGGTTGTTTGCAGATGACTGTGCCTTGTACAGAAAAATTAGAAATGAGAGTGATGTCGCCCTGCTCCAAAGCGACTTATCGTGCATCCAAGAATGGTGTTCAAGGTGGAAAATGACATTAAATGCCAATAAATGCATTCATGTTTCTTTCACGCGTAAAAAAACCAAGTTAGCTTCAGAGTATGTAATCTGTTATAGTATAGTAACACAAAAACCGCATTATAAATATTTAGGTGTAACTTTTTCATCCGACTGTTCATGGAATGCACACGTTGATTCAGTTGTTGCGAAGGCCGCCAAGTCACTAAATTTTATACTGCGCAGCCTGACACAAGCGCCGGCATGTTTGAAATCAACGGCGTATTCAACATACATTCGCCCTATGCTTGAATACGCCTGTGCCGTGTGGGACCCCTGGCAAAGTACTTTAAGTTACAAACTTGAAAAAATACAAAATAGAGCTGCAAGGTTTGTCCTAAGCCGGTACTCAAGAAATGACAGTTGCACCAATTTGAAAAATGAACTAGGGTGGGAATTACTCTCATCGCGTCGAAAGAAACTGCGGCTAAAGCTCCTGTACCAAATATTTAATGGTAAAACCGGCATTCGAAAAAAAAATTCACAGTCCTCATTATATCTCTTTGCAAAATGATCATTGTTTCAAGATTTTAGAGTACCGTACCAGATCTAATTTGTATGCTAATTCGTTTTTTGTTCGTTCTATTAGAGAATGGAATCACTTATCAAATGAACAAGTGTTCTGTATTAATGAAGATGTGTTTTTCTCGACATTGTAACCCCCCTGCTGCTGCGCCTTCGGGCTAAGCGGGGTAATCATTGAATAAAGAATTGAATAATGAACGAGGTCCCTGAGACTGACAGTTATCGGTGGGTATATCTGGCTCCACTGCTGGCGAATGCAGTGTTTCAGGCTCTGCTCGCTGCCTATGCAGCATTTCTTTTTCGTTATTAGGGTTTCTGACTGCATCTGCGACAATGGCGGAGGGTTTTTTTTTTTTTTAGACATGTTCAGCCTCTTTCATTTGCTGCCTTGTACTTTCGATATAATTGCAGCATTGTCTGGAGGGTAGTTGTGGTGGACGCTTGAGTGGTATATAGTCTGTCACTTGATTTTTCCGTAATTAAAACGCCTTTGCATCCATTACGTTTAGCACAGTGCCGGCGAATACCCAAGGCGGCATTTTTTTGTCTTTACATATAACCGCCTAGGCACAGTTTTAGGCCTCTTTTGTTTAATTTTTTTTCTATTTTTCCTTTGTTCAGTCACGCGCATAGCTAGATTGCATATATCTGAAATGCTCATTGTTTGTGATATTGCGTCTGATATTACACTTATACAAATAAGTTGGGACAGTTCGTATATCAATGTGATGTTTCGTTATTAATATAATTCAGTAAACTGCAATCTTCGCGCACATGTTTTTATCTTCTTTGAGAAATATAGAATCGCCCACTGGAAGGCGCAACGTTTGATGGTGTCCGCGTTGTGGGGATTTTTTTTTTTTTTTGAGAACGCAAATGGGGACATGTTTTCTAGAGACATTTTTTTTTCAATCTATTTTTTCAGAGGGGACGTGTATTCTTGGGACATTTCTTCCGGGGACGTTTTTTTCCGGAGACCGCGTGAGCTGCACATCTGCAGAATTATTGGGAAAAGGGCTGGAAATCCTAAATAAGAAGGCGAGGTTGCTAGCGACGCCACAAATATCGATGCGCACATGTTTTTTTTTTACTGGTGTTTAGTACAAAAGTGCACATGAGGAATAAAATATTCGTTTGAAAGTGATAGCAATAATTTTATATAGGGTGTATGGCCCCAAAACCAACAGATGATTAATAAAGACACCACAGTGGAGGGCTCCAAAAATTTCGACCACCAGTGGTTCTTCACCGTGCACATGAATTCAAGTACACGGCCTCAAACATGTTTGGCTCTATCTAAAGTTTAGCTACCGCAGCCGACATTCGGTTTCATGAACTTTGCACGAGCAATCAAGTGCCATAATCAAACGACCATCACGGTGGGTGTTATTGTTGAATGTCGGTGCAGCCTTTGTGTACTTTACGCCTCTCTTCGTACCCGTTGCTCTCTTCGCTATGTTAAACCAACAAGCCTAAGTGGAAATTGAGAGCACCTGTATTGCACATCTTGGCAATTTACTCTATACCAGACAAGTTTTTATCGGGCTAGGCTAAATCGTTTTTCTGAAAACCACTAAGAGTACTCCCTCAAATAACGACGCCCCAACTGACACGTACCATCGTGAGCAATATGAGCTCTAACTCGAACGGGTGTCGAATTGCCTCGAACCCTACACCGGCTGATTTGCAGCGGCCGCTGTGGGAAACAAACTGGAAAGGGCGGCGCGCTTACGCCAGCTGTTGACACTCCCTCCTCGATATCGTTGCTGCGAAACGCAGATTATAGCGTGTCCTGCTAGTGGCTGCTGTCGGTCACATGAATTTACATCAACGCGCACAGCCACAACTAGTTGACCTAGCAGGTTAAGAAGCTCGCCCCACCGTGGTGGTCTAGTAGCTAAGGTACTCGGCTGCTAACCCGCAGGTCGCGGGTTTGAATCCCGGCTGCGAAGGCTGCATTTCCAATGAAGGCGGAAATTTCGTAGGCCCGTGTGCTCAGATTTGGGTGCACGTTAAAGAACCGCAGGTGGTCGAAATTTCCGGAGCCCTCCACTACGGCATTTCTCATATGCATATGGTGGTTTTGGCGCGTTAAACCCCCCATATCAATCAGGCTAAGAAGCTACAAAATCATCGGCTGTGACGTAGCTGGCAGGGATGCACACGCCATGCTTTTATTACATCTGGATGGTGTTCGCCGAGCATTTTGATACACATTCTTGTTTTCGGTGTTTTTTTTTTTTTTCATGTTATGATTGCTAGCAGCCGAAGGCACGCGATAGACTGCCGTTTCACAGCAATGTTCATGGGGGTATGGTGATGCGGGAGTGCAAACAGTCAGCGCAAGAGCATCCTCCTTTCCCTTGCAGTTTCGGCAGTGCCATCCTCGTATCACGTTATCTGTATTTTGAGGCTCTTGGCCACGCACTCACGCGTTGGAACTCATATTGCTCGCAATAGGACGTGCCATCTTCTAAAACACATGACACGGTAAGAGAGCATGACGCTGTCTTCTGCAGGAGTGCGGCTCAGCTCCGGTTAAAACCGATAATTGAATGTTTGTTGCATTACGCTGCTGAAACACAGAGAACTGTACTTAAATAATATTCGTTGCGTATACCTTAGATAAGTTTGTCCTCACTACCTTTCCGTCTAGGGTGTTATCGAATGCTGATAGCGCGCACGTATAAAATAGATTACTATTGGGTGACAGGAAAAGGCCTTTTACAGTTTAGTGCAAATATATTGTTCCACTGTTTATATTGCAACTCTCAAAGTGTGGTGCGTAAGGTATAATGCAGTTGCATTTTGCCAAAGCGCATCGCTCGGCTTTAATAGTCATTTCGCGTTCTTGCAGTTATGTTTGACGCAACTTGCCGCACAAAAACGTCCCTTTCATGCTAATTCCCGAAAAAGGCCTGGTACTGCAGAAGGCAGCCTTGGAAGCCCGGCTATGTGCAACGCGGGAGGAAAGCGGAATGGTCACGTCCATGCTCACCTGATGTCTCCCCGAAGGCATTTGTCTTTTCTGGCGTTGTAATTCTGCAGCTTAATCTGCAGCTCTACTGTCTCGACGAAGCGGCGGGGCTTCTCCTGCGACGCCCGCAACACTTGCTCGATGCAATTGCGCAGCTTCTCGGCAACCGCTTTCAAGCTGCAACGAAGGATTGTACAATGCATATTGGCACAACTAAGCTGCGGAGTGAGAGCTAGTTTTCATTCGAGATAGCGGCGGGCGCCACCCGCAATGAGCATGACCTTTTGAACACCCACAATGTTACCAGAACGATTGGAACTACAAAAAATACAACTGCGTGACGTGCGGACGAACAACTGACTATTGATTAACACGCAAAATGCAGCGATAAACATTAACACAATGAAATAAAGGGGACGTACATCTTTTCGGAGTCGGAGCTTTCGTCCGCGGTGGAGGGCGTTGGGTTATCCATACTGTGGACGAAGTGAAATGACACGTACAGACAGCAACAGAGTTCCCAGTGAACACCCACCCAGACGCGCACCACCAGACGCCGCTGATACGGCTGCAAAAGCAAAGAACTTTGGTATTACTGAACGTGAATGAATGACGAAAGTAAAAAAAAAAACACGTCTAAACTTTATAATCATGACGTGTGTGTCATGTAAAACATGAGTACATCCCACACTCATATCGCGCTCGGGGCCGTTTCTCTAGCTTCAAATATACCAAATTAAGTATTACGAGACGTGAATAGACGACGAACAAAAATGCCTGACGCAAGCATGATAAACGTGACATGAAAGTCATGAACGGCATAATTTACGTCCGCCTCGTAACGTAGTGCTGCTTTTAAGGTGACATATGAACCTTCTTCATTTGCGCTTCGCATACATTCGATTCCCATAATAGGTAGGATCTGCTAATTGTTTTACATTGCTTTTTCACGAAAAACAGTCACAAGCAGTTGCCGCAGCAAAAATAAAGCATTTTTGAGTGTATGTAAAAGCCGTTAACGAGGCAGGAGTGTTTACTCAAAAATTACGTCCTAGCTTTTGCTAACAAACATTTTTCCAGTTTCACTACTTCTCTCTTATTGCGCTCGTTAGAGCTTTAAGCGATTTGCGAATAGTACAGATAATGATGCTGAGCATAGCTGGTTCTCGCTAAATCTCACTCATGCAGCAAATTTGAATACATGTACCAACACAAAGAAAACCTAAAAACGCAAGCGGCGAATCACTTTCTTGAGTTAATAAAAGATTTCCTCTAAAATGAGCGCCCCGCCGTGGTGGTCTAGTGGCTAAAGTACTCGGTTGCTGACCCCCAGGTCCTGTATGGAATCCCCACAGCGGAGGCTGCATTCTCGATGGAGGCAAAAATGATGTAGGCCTATGTGCGCAGATTTGGGTGCACGTTAAGGAACCTCCGGTGGTAGAAATTTCTAGAGGTCTGCACTACGGTGTCTCTCGTAACCATATCATAATTTTGGGACGTTATACCCCACATATTGTCTTCATCCCAAACGAGAATAGCTGCCTTCAAAACAGTTTTCTTTTGTGTGAAGCAATCCCTACAAACAGTAGTTGAATAGCCCAAAAAATATCACTGCGCCTAACAGCACAGTGCCAAAAATGTCAGGTTCAGGCTGCAATGACAAATGCATTACGCACTTTACAAAGTATTGATGGCGTTCGTACCAAGAAGCAGCCAAGTTGAGCGGCAGATGAAACAATCGAAGACCATGACGCAGACTGGGCACGCTTTTCGTACATCATTTATCACATTCGCCTGCTGCTGTCTGTACATCTTCACTGCCTTAAATGCTCATGAACACGCAGTGCAACAACGTCACCGGCGCATCGACGCCATGTGCAATGTCTCGAATCCCATTCATGCCAAATTCTTGCGACGATGTTACACCACACAATTAAAAAGATGCGAAGAAATATATTGCACCAGGAAAGGTACTGTAGTAGATAACTAGGTAGCCCGTTTCTTTGAAAGCAGTAAGTCATATGTGGCCATCTTACGGCCACAGTGAAGCTGCGTAACACAGCCGCTCTTGGCCGAGTGACCACTCCTAATCTTGATGCTACTTTATGCTTTAAGCGCGAAACACGTGGAAAAAAGCGTACGGAGGGTTGGTGTGGTAACGCCGAAGCTGAAAGAGTACCCCCCCCCCCTTCTTTTTTTTTCTTCCTTAGAAATATGTACTGCATGTAGGTATGCTTGTTATCACGAAGCATGATGATCCAGCGAGGCAGATGCTTGGAACCTTAGGAGAGAACATGACTCGAATCCTAGGCATGCGTGGTATGAGCATGCCACGCACGTGTCTTCGTATTTAGGGCTTCCTTCAAGCCAAGCCAATCTTTACTTTTCCGGTCGTAGCAGCAACCTCTGGTGGTGGGCTGTTCACTGGGAACTTGGTTGCTGTCTATGCGTACCATTCTGCTTCGTCTACAGTATGAATAACCCCACGCCCTCCACTTTTCCCGAAAGCTCCGACTCCGAAAAGATGTACGTTCCCTTTATTTCATTGTGTTAATGTTTACCGGTGCAGTTTGCGTGTTAACTACTTGTCAGTTGTGTGCCTGTACGTCATACAGTTGTATTTTTGTTGTTTCAATCATTCTGGTAACTTTGTGGGCGTTCAAAACTTCATGCTCATTACGAGTTACGCTATCTTGAGTGAAAACAAGCTCACACTGCACAGTTTAGTTGCGCCAATGCTCCTGCTGCAATCCTTCATTGCAGCTTGAAAGCGACAGCCAAGACGCTGTACGGTTGCATCGAGGAAGTGTTGCTGGCGTCCAAGGAGAGGCCCCGCCACTTCGTCGAGACAGTGGAGCTGCAGATATTCCTCAGGAATTACAACGCCAGAAAGCATAAGTGCTTTAAGGGCTACATCAGGTGAGCAAGAGAGTGAGTGTTGCGTATACTTTCTGCGTTGCACATAACCGGGCTTCAAAAGACTGCCTCCTACAGTATCGCACCTCTTTCTGGAATTAGTCAGCACGATAGGGACAATTTTGCGCTATCCGCCTCAGTGCCGTACGTTGCCTCAATCATAACTGCAATAATGCGAAATGACTGTTGAAGCCGAGCGATCAGCTATTGGTAAATGCATCTGTATCAGCATTTACTCACCACAGTTCATGCGAGGTGTAAAACGCGTTACAATATGTGTACTAAATAGCAAGGAAGGTTCTCTGTCACTCAACTGTAATCTATTTCTTTATATGTGCGCGCTATTACCGTTCGACAATATATCTTTGGCGGAAAAGTAGTTGGGGCGCACCAGGCCCCGGAAACTCGGCACTAGTTTCGGTTTCAAAGAACATGCACGCTCGTAGCTGTTGCCGGTCATCCTAAGAAACGGATGAACGGATTGAGGTCAATGTGAATGTTCGCCTTTATTGGCTTTCACAAGCTTTTACAAATAAAAAATATGATACCCCTGTAAAGAATCTCCCTTGTTTGTCTTTTATTCCTTATTGTGCGATCTTTAAATCAGGCGAAGCGCGGAAAGTGAATGATTTCAGTTCCTAGCGCTTGCCTCCGCTCCTTCTCGTTCAGCGATGTTAGAGAGTTATAGCTGGGAGCTGGGTGGGTTTACGAGTCAGCGGGCGAGCGTAGAGGGCAACGGAGCGTGACACAAAGAGTGATAGCTGAGCGACGCCCCCCACACGCTTCAGCGGATCGCATTTCTGCGCCGCTTTTTATCAAGGTTGAAGCAGTTGAATTAACTGGCTGAGGCCAAGGTATAGACTGGTAGCGAAGGCTCCTTAGAAGCCCATACGTTCAGAAAATGGCGGCTTACGAGCTGCTCATGGGGCTTAGCGCTGTCTCTGTGAGGAGAAAACACTTCTGGCTGCGAATCCCGGCTGTGGCAGCTGCAATTCCGATGGAGGCGGAAATGCTGTAGGCCCGTGTGCTCAAATTTGGGTGCACGTTAAAGAAACCCAGGTGGTCTAAATTTCCGGAGCCCTCCACTACGGCGTCTCTCATATTCATATGGTGGTTCTGGGATGTTAAACCCCGCAAATCGAACTTCATAGGCCCCGTGATTGCTAATGAAACGGTCTAAGGTGATCGCCGGCAAATCATGCACGAGTGTGCTTCAAGTTAACGCCAGCTAACCTAATGCAGACTTGTGACTCAATATTGATGTTCAGGTGTACTGCCGTTCACTTTTCTTCAGTTTTATTCTTCGAACTTTTATTCGCCGTTGGTACGTGGCACTTTTTACCAATGGATTGAAACAACCCAACAGCGTAGCAACGTATACATGTGATATGTGCAGCGTGGCTGATTTGTTTCACACATACGTACGTTTTAGAGAATGCACAAGGCTTGTGATCTTCTGTTTTAAGAAGAAGAAATGCCGCCACGTCACGCCAAAAAGATGACAAGTTAGCTTTATTCAATGGTCACAATAATTCAAACTTAATAGACTGCACAAAATGGTGTTAAGAAGAAAACAATCTGCAGACACTCACCAAGTTTTGTCTTTCTTTTTTTTTTTGCAGTATGCAAGATAAATTACCGCTACGTATGTGACTGAACACAAGCGAATTGTGCAGTGATAGATAACTTAGGGTCCGACGCCGTCAGGGTCCGACGCCATCGTATCGTTTGTGGTTGATTTCATAGATCAAGAATTTTTCAAGACCGTATTGAACAAGCTTTGACACTGAAAAAACTCGATTAGGTTGCTAGCTATGAAGCCTTGTGGCGCAAAGGTCCCGTAAACCACCTCCAATTTTTTTTTCAAGCATTTCAAGTAAACGTGTGCATTGTGTGCAGAATGACGTCGCGATCAATGATTCTGCACGTGGCTGCGCTACGAGCCTGCGGCGCGCCACACATCCTAAGAAACATTTCCTCCTCCTTTCCGGGCCTTTTGGGCCTCCGCGTGACACGCCGGGCCACATCTTTGAAGCGCCGAGCCAAACATGCCAAATATGCGGTGACTTGTCGAGCAAATTCCTACGACTTCCGGTGAGTCTGCAAGCAGCTGTCCGCGCAGGTTGTTGTTCTTCATGTTATCCGCGTGCGTGTAACACGTGTGGGGCACGGCGTGTCCCCGTACGTCTTCATCGTGTTGGCAATCTTTTGAAGGCGTGAGCGCAACGCAGGTTCTATATGGGCACGATTACGGCAGCCACGATTCGCCAACAAGCACGCAACTGACTGCCGAGCCGCGGCAACCGGAAGTAGACTGTGTTTCAAGCAGCACATCAACGATGACGTAAGCCAAGCGAGATTGGGAGGGGTAAGGAAGAGGAACTCGGAGAGAGGGAAAAGCGGCGTGGAAGAGCATACCAGCGGCGAGAAGCGCAGGAGAGAGCGAAAGGTGTGGTCGTCACGGTTTCGATAATCAAACGCGTCTAACTCCGCTATTACTTCAACGTTTCGATAAATTCTCACGGCTTTGTGTACGTCGTACACTCGTGCTCGATTTCCCGAACACAACTGAATTTCGATCTCTGGGTGGTTTACGGTTCCTTTAATGCGTTAAACGTAATTATTCTCGTTTGGGGTAGTGGCAATGAATGAAGAGCATGTATTTCCCCAACACGTAATATTTAATGTGTGAATGAAGAAATGAAAAAAGGCACTGAATGAAAAAAGACACTGAAACTTTTCAGTTCGGCAATGCTAGCCGAACTGAAAAGTTTCAGTGCCTTCGTGAGGTTTCACTCTAACGAGGGTTTGAACACACAGTACAAGCCCGAGGCACTCTAAATCGGCTTACTTCTCTTTTCTGCTTTTGCAAAGGTACACAGATATCCCACAGGCAGCTGCAACTTTTTGTCTCCAAAAGGCACCCAATCCGTGAAAGAGTAATTACTTTCCTCTAAGGAAATGATGCTGTTCCGTTGGTTGGCTCGATTAAAATTATCTGCGTGTGTGAGAATCGTTTTGTGTAATTGCGTGCACCCGAGTGTCATACAACTAGGTAAAAGTTTGACTTGTACGTAGGGCTGAGTGGCATCTGTCGTGTTTACCTGTACACCAAGGAACACGAGTTCAAGTTAACACTGCCTCTCAGCCTGCATACTGCTTAACAAAGAAATTGTTGAACCTTTAGCGCACAGGTGGGCTGTACTAATTTTGTTTGATTGAACTTTCAAGTATTTGAAATGCAGATCTCGAAATAATGTGAAACATCGTCGAGTCAAAGCATAGGCCTTCTTTTGCGATTGTTTCCATAAAAGTCCGTCATTGTTAAATGAAACGGCACAAGTCTTCTGGAGTAATAGGAGGGGTGTTGCCAGGTTACTAAAGTTGTTAAGGGTTAGGGCGGTTGGCGGTCAGACTGTGGTTTGTCAGTGTACCTAGGCTGCCGCGATGAGGGTGCTTTGAATTCTATAGTGTGCAAATAACAAGTGCATGTTCAAATATGGTATGGTATACCTTCAGCGAAGTGTTCATACCAGTCTGCTATATAGGTCACGAATGACGTGTGCACTGCCAGCGTGAGACAGAATTTTTGACAGGGAAGCGGCCAGCAAAGAAGTTTCAATAAAGGATGCACTGCAAGCAAGCTGAATGAAATTTCTTGTTCGGACAAAATACTCGCCAAAAGATGTATACGATGCGACTGTTTTTATAATGAATTTGTTGGCATACTGACAGAAAGTTACAAGATGATTGATGAAAATTCAGCCAGACGAGATGAACAATCGTGACGCGAGCACGGTATCGAGCACATGAATTCCATAATTGACGTTGGTTTTTCGTTGTTTATTGCGCGTGGCCAATTACGCATCTGGGTGGGTGGATGGATGGATGGATGTCTGCTGTCCATTCGTCTATCCGTCCATTGAGTGATAGAAGCTCCAGAGAAAATCATCGGCAAAACCGTGAATCTTCTGTGTGTAATTCGCCCAGTCGATCATGATGTATAGATATGTGAAACAGTATATATATATATATATATATATATATATATATATGTATGTATGTATATATATATATATATATATATATGTAAGTATGTATATATATATATATATATGTATGTATATATATATATATATATGTATGTATGTATATATATATAATGTATGTATGTATGCAGAAGAATAACTTCGGTTGCCGCAAGGTTATAAATATGAAAGTAGATGCGCTTTCACATAACAACTGTTTATTGTGCCGACGTTTCGACGAGAACAGGGTTCTCGTCGAAACGTCGGCACAATAAACAGTTGTTATGTGAAAGCGCATCTACTTTTATATTTATATATATATATATATATATATATATATATATATATAGAAACCAACTTTTATTTGTTCTTATAGACGATGGATAGCTTGCAACATCCCTTCATTAGGACGGTTTCTGGCTCGTGAAGTGATGGATGAGCGGTTTCTGTATAGGCCGCAGTGGAAAATTAGTAAATACCAGGTGAATGCATGTTCCTCGTATCGTGGCTGGTTTGATATTGTCATACGATATACATCTTAGTGCATATCTAGACGCCACATGTTGGATAAGCCAATAATTAAACGTGTATGTGATGTCAACGTTGAAGTCGGTTTGAACGGCCTCATCAACTAAAATACCGCTATTTAGTTCCACATAGAATTACCACCATCGGTGGCTACGTACATCACCAACAACAAACCCCATGGGATGTAAAGACCCACGCCCTAAGAAGCTTCGCCCCTTAAAAACTGCAGGGCTTGGCCCGGAATCAAACAGACATTCTGCGCGCAAGTCAAGGCACAGTCCTGTGCCAGTGCTCAAAACGGCTTCGAAATTTCGGGACAGGAGTGGCGTTGCGGGCACCCTGAAATGTTTTCTACGCTTTATGCAAACACAGTATGGCGGTACAAGTTGCCCCAAGGATTCCGTACATACCGCTATAAAGTTCAACCGTGTCTGAAATTCCAGGAAATTTGGTGCACAATTGCGAACGACATCGGCTTTCCTGGTCTCTCCTAGAAGCCTGAGTAATGTCTTATAACGAACCCCAAGACGCCTGTAGACTGACACTTTTATGTGTCCTGTCATTGTGAAAATAAAAAAAAAACGTAGAAATGGCAAGATGGAAGCTTGCGATGAAGTAGTTAGAAATCAGGATTAGTAATCAAGCATTGCGACCCGAAAGTTGATGGACGGTGCCCTCATTGTTGGAAATTCTCCAATAACTTTCACGTGGTTTGGGAATGTCAGATGAATCTTCCCTTCCTCGTTGCCCTTCCCCACTCGAGGCTTTAGAGGTAACCCTACTCAATTGCTCAGGACTGAAGGCTCACAGGGCTATAGTCCGACGGGTGTGGGTACAGCGGGGTACCGGAGTAAGGACTCTCAATGTAAAGGGTGTTTTTGGGCCTGAAAACTTTCGTTAAATAAAGGCTTTTCAGAAGCACATACATGCATGCATGCATACATGCATGCATGCTTACATGCATGGATGGATAGATGCCCAGCCGCGTTAGTCTAGTGGCTAAGGTACTCGGCTGCTGACCCATAGTTCGCGGGATCGAATACCGGCTGTGGCGGCTGCAATTCCAATGGAGGCGGAAATGCTGTAGACCCGTGTGCTCATATTTGGGTGCACGTTAAAGAACCCCAGGTGGTCAAAATTTCCGGATCCCTCCACTACGGCCTTTCTTATAATATGTTGAGTTAGGGACGTTAAAGCTCACATATAAAATCATGCATGTATGCATACATGCATACATACGCACGCACGCACGCACACAGCTCTGCGAAAAGTGTGTAATTTGTTACAAGGCAATACGTTAATTGCTGCGCATCGCAGTGGCTTGACCAAACAAATTCTCCTACACCCACATCTATATACTATTCTTAGCAAAAGGTTCGATGAGCTAAACACGCAACTGCTTAATGTAGATGAAGGCCCCTGCTCTGTATGGTTTGCCCTAGTGCACACTTGAAGAATAAGCAAGTAGTATTGTTTACGAAAACCGTTACTGCGTTTGCAGGGCTTTTCCCGTCTCTTTTGGGCAATTATTGGTCTTTTGCAGCGGTCATGCGTTCGCTTAGCTTCAGCATACTCTTTAGAGGCAGTGGTTCGAGTTCTAGTTTTCATCACTGCATTGATGAATCTCAGCACAAGAACGTTTTAACAATGCATGCGGCACTCTGGGAAGTGTGCATAATATTAGTGTTGAAAATGTACTTGCAGCATGCTTGATAGAACGCATCGCCTTTTGGTATTTGCTTTTGCCAGGTGCGGTACTACATGTGTTCTTTTACAATACAGGCTTCCCTACATACCACGTAAGAAGCTGGCGGTGTGTGTCATCGGAAATCAAGCCCAATGTGATGAGGCCGAAAGCCACCATCTGAGCGCCGTTCCCGTTACGAGTCTGAAAGAAAAAGCGAAAACAGTGAACCAGGTGCGAAAACTCGGTGCGTACTTGCTGGTGCTTCCTTAGGTGTTTTGGCCTACTAAAAGTAATCTGCCATTTTTTTTGTTCCAGCTTCACACACTGTACGGCGCTCTATCCAAGTCATGGCTGAGCTCTAGCTGCCAATAGGGCTAAACGAACCCGTGAAACACTAAGCTGTAGACGAAGTACTTCATAGAAAAAATATCACGATAGCGTATCACAACCTAATCATAAATGTAACATCCGCCTGGCAGCATAGTGTTCCACTGAAATAGTTTGCAGTATAGGCCTGTGCAATCGCATTATTTCTGAAAGGCTAAGCAGATTTTATATATTCACTTCGGCATTTGCTCCATAGTTCGCATAGCTGATCTTCGGTTGAAGAACTTCTGCGAAAACTCGGTGAAAGGTTCCAACGTCACTGTCCTGCCAAACGCAGTATTTTAGATAGGGATGACGAAAATTTCGGGCGTTCATGTGAGTGATATATACATGAGTAGCGCAAACGCATTTACTGTTAGGACAGCAAACCGCCTACCATAAAATGACTGTGCGCGCAGATTGATGGTTCTGGACGCGGAGCGTGCAATATTTTTGGGTGTGGACCGACACAAGAGTAATCGTAACTGACAAATCGTAGTCGGAGCCAGTAGCAGAACGTTGAGCTTTGTCTGTCTGTCTGTGGTTCTGTCTGTCTGTGTCTGTCTTCTGTGTCTGTCTTGTCGTCGGTCTGTGCTGTCCTGTCTGTCTGTCTCTGTCCTTCTGTCTGTCTCTGTGTCTCTGTCGGTCTCTGTCTGCTCTGTCGTCTGTCCTGTCTGTCTGTCTCTGTCTGCTCTGTCTGTCTGTCTCTGTCCTGTCTGTCTCTGTCTGTCTGTCTCTGTCGGTCTGTTCTGTCTCTGTCTTTCTGTCCTGTCTCTGTCTGTCTGTCTGTCCTCTGTCTTTCTGTCTGTCTGTCTCTGTCTGTCTGTCTGTCTGTGTCTGGTCTTCTGTCTGTCCTGTGTCTGTCTGTCTGTCTGTCTGTGTCTGTCTGTGTCTGTCTGTCTGTCTCTGTCTGTCTCTGTCTGTCGCCCGCCGTGGTGTTCGAATCCCGGCTGCGCGCTGCATTTCCGATGGAGGCGGAAATGTTGTAGGCCCGTGTGCTCAGATTTGGGTGCACGTTAAAGAACCCCAGTTGGTCTAAATTTCCTGGATCCCTCCACTACGGCCTTTCTTATAATCATATAGTGGTTTTGGGACGTTAAACCCCATATATCAATCAATGTCTCTGTCTGTCTGTCTGTCTGTGTCTGTCTGTCTGTCTGTCTCTGTCTGTCGGTCTGTCTGTGTCTGTCGGTCTGTCTGTCGGTCTGTCTGTGTCTGTCGGTCTGTGTCTGTGTCTGTCTGTGTCTGTCTCTGTCTCTGTCAGTCGGTCTGTCTGTGTCTGTCTCTGTCTGTCGGTCTGTCTGTGTCTGTCTCTGTCTGTCTGTGTCTGTGTCTGTGTCTGTGTCTGTCGGTCTGTGTCTGTGTCTGTCTCTGTCTGTCGGTCTGTCTGTCTGTGTCTGTCTCTGTCTGTTCTTAACTAGTGTGAGGGTTTACGAGGGTTTGACGAATACGTCTGGCTGGTCATGACTTGAATAACGTGAGTTCTGTCACATACGCAGTCAAACACTTTTCTCCAGACACGTGTGGCACATGCCCATATACCATGTGATGCGGGTATGTGGCACGGAGGATTGACGGTTTATTTCTAGCCAGGAAAGTTGAGGGCCGGACGCAGGCCATTTAAATGCGAGAGCACTAAGGAAAAACTGGCTTCGCCAGCATCGACTCGGTGAATGCAAAGAATAAATGTCAGGGTCACAGCTGAAATCATGCCCAAGCATCCTGTGTGGCAATCAAATTCAAGCGCTAGTCATACCAGGTCTCGAACTACTTTGAAAAAAAAAAAAGTTCTGCATTCTTGATGTTGGTGAAACGTCAATCGTGGTTGCAGGTTGCGGCTGTCTAATAGTGTAAAAAAAATTTACATATGTACTTTTTCAATACAGGCGGCATGATGAGTGAACATCAATTTTACACTCAGTTCCTTCCAATCAAGTTGGTCAACGTAGCATGAGCCAAGGTTAGCACCCGTAAACAGAAGTACTGCTTATCGTGGTAACACTTTCTGGTGTTGATAATACGTATAGTGCTGTTATCGTCTCGAAACTGTAAACAATTCGTTATATAAACATATTTGACGGTTCAACATACGTCTTAGCGTACAAGACACGTACAGGTGCTTCAAAGTAAAATAGAACATACAAGCTGCGGCCAAACGGGGAGAAACTGCATGCCAACACCCTCTATCACGAGCGGCGCCGCAGATAGGGAGTGTACGCCGTCATTTATACGGCTGACCTCTACCCATATTCTGTTGCTCGCCTTACAGACGGCTCGAGCAAAGCTGCGCTGCAGCCATCACTGCTCGTCGTATGACACTTTCAACATTTAAGGCCAAACCTCATAAGCGCGAAAATGCACGCGACAGCGACAAGCGACGCGACGTAGATCGGCTTCGCGCGATCAGTCGCTAGTGCAGGCAAACCTTATTCACGCGACGGCTTCGGCGAGCGAATTCCACTGTTGCTGGCATGAGGCCGTCTACTCGCACCAAGAAAACCGCGTAGCGAGCGGTATGCATTTAAAAATAAGATATATTGTTGTGTAATGAAACGGAAAGTGTTTATTATTGCCTTGCAGCATGCTTGATAGAACGCATCGCCTTTTGGTATTTGCTTTTGCCAGGTGCGGTACTACATGTGTTCTTTTACAATACAGGCTTCCCTACATACCACGTAAGAAGCTGGCGGTGTGTGTCATCGGAAATCAAGCCCAATGTGATGAGGCCGAAAGCCACCATCTGAGCGCCGTTCCCGTTACGAGTCTGAAGAAAAGCGAAAACAGTGAACCAGGTGCGAAAACTCGGTGCGTACTTGCTGGTGCTTCCTTAGGTGTTTTGGCCTACTAAAAGTAATCTGCCATTTTTTTTGTTCCAGCTTCACACACTGTACGGCGCTCTATCCAAGTCATGGCTGAGCTCTAGCTGCCAATAGGGCTAAACGAACCCGTGAAACACTAAGCTGTAGACGAAGTACTTCATAGAAAAAATATCACGATAGCGTATCACAACCTAATCATAAATGTAACATCCGCCTGCAGCATAGCTGTTCCACTGAAATAGTTTGCAGTAATGGCCTGTGCAATCGCATTTATTTCTGAAATGCTAAGCAGATTTTATATATTTCACTTCGGCATTTGCTCCATAGTTCGCATAGCTGATCTTCGGTTGAAGAACTTCTGCGAAAACTCGGTGAAGGTTCCAACGTCACTGTCCTGCCAAACGCAGTATTTTAGATAGGGATGACGAAAATTTCGGGCGTTCATGTGAGTGATATATACATGAGTAGCGCAAACGCATTTACTGTTAGGACAGCAACCGCCTACCATAAAATGACTGTTGCGCGCAGATTGATGGTTCTGGACGCGGAGCGTGCAATTATTTTTGGGTTGTGACCGACAACAAGAGTAATCGTAACTGACAAATCGTAGTCGGAGCCAGTAGCAGGAACGTTGAGCTTTGTCTGTCTGTCTGTGTCTGTCTGTCTGTGTCTGTCTGTCTGTGTCTGTCTGTCTGTGTCTGTCTGTCTGTGTCTGTCTGTCTGTGTCTGTCTGTCTGTGTCTGTCTCTGTCTGTCTCTGTCTGTCTCTGTCTGTCTCTGTCTGTCTATGTCTGTCTGTCTGGTCGTTGTCTCTGTCTGTCTGCTGGTCTGTCTGTCTCTGTTGTCTGTCTCTGTCTGTCTGTCTGTCTCTGTCTGTCTGTCTGTCTCTGTCTGTCTGTCTGTCTCTGTCTGTCTGTCTGTCTGTCTCTGTCTGTCTGTCTGTCTGTGTCTGTCTGTCTGTCTGTCTGTGTCTGTCTGTCTGTCTGTCTGTGTCTGTCTGTGTCTGTCTGTCTGTCTCTGTCTGTCTCTGTCTGTCGCCCCGCCGTGGTGGTTCGAATCCCGGCTGCGGCGGCTGCATTTCCGATGGAGGCGGAAATGTTGTAGGCCCGTGTGCTCAGATTTGGGTGCACGTTAAAGAACCCCAGGTGGTCTAAATTTCCGGAGCCCTCCACTACGGCGTCTCTCATAATCATATAGTGGTTTTGGGACGTTAAACCCCATATATCAATCAATGTCTCTGTCTGTCTGTCTGTCTGTGTCTGTCTGTCTGTCTGTCTCTGTCTGTCGGTCTGTCTGTGTCTGTCGGTCTGTCTGTCGGTCTGTCTGTGTCTGTCGGTCTGTCTGTGTCTGTCTGTGTCTGTCTCTGTCTCTGTCAGTCGGTCTGTCTGTGTCTGTCTCTGTCTGTCGGTCTGTCTGTGTCTGTCTCTGTCTGTCTGTGTCTGTGTCTGTGTCTGTGTCTGTCGGTCTGTGTCTGTGTCTGTCTCTGTCTGTCGGTCTGTCTGTCTGTGTCTGTCTCTGTCTGTTCTTAACTAGTGTGAGGGTTTACGAGGGTTTGACGAATACGTCTGGCTGGTCATGACTTGAATAACGTGAGTTCTGTCACATACGCAGTCAAACACTTTTCTCCAGACACGTGTGGCACATGCCCATATACCATGTGATGCGGGTATGTGGCACGGAGGATTGACGGTTTATTTCTAGCCAGGAAAGTTGAGGCCGGACGCAGGCCATTTAAATGCGAGAGCACTAAGGAAAACTGGCTTCGCCAGCATCGACTCGGTGAATGCAAAGAATAAATGTCAGGGTCACAGCTGAAATCATGCCCAAGCATCCTGGGTGGCAATCAAATTCAAGCGCTAAGTCATACCAGGTCTCGAAACTACTTTGAAAAAAAAAAAGTTCTGCAGGCTTGATGTTGGTGAAACGTCAATCGTGGTTGCAGTTGCGGCTGTCTAATAGTGTAAAAAATTACATATGTACTTTTTCAATACAGGCGGCATGATGAGTGAACATCAATTTTACACTCAAGTTCCTTCCAATCAAGTTGGTCAACGTAGCAT